GGACGCATGTGAGCGCGGGCGCTGGGGCCTTCGGTGGAGCTCCCTATGGGGCCACGAAACGTGTGAGGGGTGTGCCGAATTGGGTGGGTGTGGGTGACGCATGTGAGCGCCGCCACTGGGGCTTCCGGTGGATGATGGGGCCACGAAACCTGTCAGGGATGTGCCGAAATGGGTGTGCGGGACGCATGCGCATGTGAGCGCCGCCACTGGGGCCTTCGGTGGAGCTCCCTATGGGGCCACGAAACGTGTGAGGGGTGTGCCGAATTGAGTGCGCGGGACGCATGCGGGCGGCAGCACTGGGGCCTTCTGTGGGGCTCCCTATGGGGCCACGAAACGTGTGAGGGGTGTGCCGAATTGGGTGTGCGTGACGGATGCGGGCGGCAGCACTGGGACCTTCGGTGGGGCTCCCTATGGGGCCACGAAACGTGTGAGGGGTGTGCCGAATTGGGTGTGCGTGACGCATGCGGGCGGCAGCACTGGGGCCTTCGGCGGAGCTCCTATGGGGCCACGAAACGTGTGAGGGGTGTGCCGAATTGGGTGTGCGTGACGCATGCGGGCGGCAGCAATGGGTGGGGCTTCGGTGGGACTCCTATGGGGCCACGAAAAAGTCGTGAGGGTTGTTTTTTGTGCCGAAATGGGTGTGGGTTTGACGCATGGCGGGCGGGTGCCCCCCACTCTTGGGGCCTTCGGTGGGGTTTCCCCTATGGGTTTTTTTTAGGGCCACGAAAACGTGTGAGGGCGTGTGCCGAATTGGGTGCGCGGGACGAATGCGGGCGGACAGCAATGGGGCATTCGGTGGGGCTCCCTGTGGGGCCACGAACGTGTGAGGGGAATTGTGACGAATTGGGGTGCGGGACGCATGCGGGCGGCAGCACTGGGGCCTTCGGTGGAGCTCCCTATGGGGCCACGAAACGTGTGAGGGGTGTGCCGAATTGGATGTGCGTGACGCATGCGGGCGGCAGCATTGGGGCCTTCGGTGGAGCTTCCTATGGGCCACGAAACGTGTGAGGGGTGTGCCGGATTGAGTGTGCGTGACGCATGCGGGCGGCAGCACTGGGGCCTTCGGTGGGGCTCCCTATGGGGCCACGAAACGTGTGAGGGGTGTGCCGAATTGGGTGTGGGTGACGCATGCGGGCGGGCAGCACTGGGGCCTTCGGTGAGGCTCCCTATGGGGCCACGAAACGTGTGAGGGGTGTGCCGAATTGGGTGTGCGGGACGCATGCGGGCGGCAGCACTGGGGCCTTCGGCGGAGCTCCCTATGGGGCCACGAAACGTGTGAGGGGTGTGCCGAATTGTGTGTGCGTGACGCATGCGGGCGGCAGCACGGGGGCCTTCGGCGGAGCTCCCTATGGGGCCACGAAACGGTGTATGGTGTGGGTGAAGAGGAGAGGAGGAGAGGAGGAGAGGAGAAGGAGGGAGGGAGAGGAGGAGAGGAGAGGAGAGGAATGAGGAGAGGAGGGCGCGGGGAACGTCTCTTTCCCCACCCCCCGCTCTCCTCCATCCTCCCACCTCCCCCCGCCCCCCCCTCCCACCCACCCCCCCCCAAAAACGAGGACCCAACACCACAGGATGGTTGGGAAAAATACAACGTACACCGGAGAGGGAGGGCATCAACAAGAACTATTCTTCGGTAGCGAAAGTTCAACAACAAGAACAACAACAACAACAACAACAACAACAACAACAACAACAACAACAACAACAACAACAACAACAACAGCAACAGCAACAACAACAACAGCAATAACTACAACAATCATTTCAAGACTGTTCGCTCCTACCGGCCCGCGTGTCATTCACTTTGCATATCCCAAACCCTGGATACCCGCTCTCTTCGTCTTCGATCGTAACCCCTCTTGGGGGGTTATATTCCTTCGTGGCAACGTGTAATTGAAGAAGCCCCTAAACAGGGTAACGAAAAGGAAAAGACAAATTATCCTGGCGAAAGACCCAACCATATGCAATTGAGAATACTGCAATTGTGAATATCTTCTCGGTGGAGCCCCCTACGGGGCCACGAAACGTACGAGGGGTGTGCCGAAATGGGTGTGCGGGACGCATGCGGGCACACCCACTGGGGCCTTCGGTGGAGCTCACTATGGGGCCACGAAACGTGTGAGGGGTGTGCCGAAATGGGTGTGGCTGACGCATGCGGGCGCGGGCACTGGGGCCTTCGGTGGAGCTCCCTATGGAGCCACGAAGCGTGTGAGGGGTGTGCCGAAATGAGTGTGGCTGACGCATGCGGGCGCGGGCACTGGGGCTTTCGGTGGAGCTCCCTATGGAGCCACGAAACGTGTGAGGGGTGTGCCGAAATGGGTGTGGGTGACGCATGCGGGCGCGGGCACTGGGGCCTTCGGTGGAGCTCCCTATGGAGCCACGAAACGTGTGAGGGTGTGTGCCGAAATGGGTGTGGGTGACGCATGCGGGCGCGGGCACTGGGGCCTTCGGTGGAGCTCCCTATGGAGCCACGAAACGTGTGAGGGGTGTGCCGAAATGGGTGTGGGTGACGCATGCGGGCGCGGGCACTGGGGCCTTCGGCTGCAGCTCCCTAGGGCCACGAAACGTGTGAGGGGTGTGACGAAATGGGTGTGCGGGACGCATGCGGGCACACCAAATCGGACCTTCGGTGGGGCTCCCTCTGGGGCCACGAAACGTGTGAGGGGTGTGACGAAATGGGTGTGCGGGACGCATGCGGACGGCAGCCATGGGGCCTTCGGTGGAGCTCCCTATGGGGCCACGAAACGTGTGAGGGGTGTGCCGAAATGGGTGTGCGGGACGCATGCGGACGGCAGCACTGGGGCCTTCGGTGGAGCTCCCTGTGGGGCCACGAAACGTGTGAGGGGTGTGCCGAAATGGGTGTGGGTGACGCATGCGGGCGCGGGCACTGGGGCCTTCGGTGGAGCTCCCTATGGAACCACGAAACGTGTGGGGGGTGTGCCGAAATGGGTGTGGGTGACGCATGCGGGCGCGGGCACTGGGGCCTTCGGTGGAGCTCCCTATGGGGCCACGAGTCGTGTGAGGGGTGTGCCGAAATGGGTGGGGGTGACGCATGCGGGCGCGGGCAATGAGGCCTTCGGTGGAGCTCCCTATGGGGCCACGAAACGTGTGAGGGGTGTGCCGAAATGGGTGTGGGTGACGCATGCGGCCGCGGGCACCGGGGCCTTCGGTGGAGCTCCCTATGGGGCCACGAAACGTGTGAGGGGTGTGCCGACATGGGTGTGGGTGACGCATGCGGCCGCGGGCACTGGGGCCTTCGGTGGAGCTCCCTATGGGGGCCACGAAACGTGTGAGGGGTGTGCCGACATGGGTGTGGGTGACGAAGCGGGCGCGGGCATGCCCTGGCTCTCTCGGCTCCCTTATGGGGGCCACGAAACGTGTGAGGGGTGTGCCGAAATGGGTGTGGGTGACGCATGCGGCCGCGGCCACTGGGGCCTTCGGTGGAGCTCCCTGTGGGGCAACGAAGCGTGTGAGGGGTGTGCCGAAATGGGTGTGGGGGACGCATGCGGGCGGCGGCACTGGGGCCTTCGGTGGAGCTCCCTGTGGGGCCATGATGATGGGAGGGGGGAGGAGGCAGCGGGAGGAAGGAAGGAAGGAGAACGCGGGGCACCGTCTCTTCAAAACGAGGACCCAACACCACAGGATGGTTGGGAAAAAAAAAGACACAGGGATCGGAGGAAGGGATGGATTAGAGGGGCAAGAGGGAGGGACGACGATGATTTGCGCCGCGAGTTGCGACTCAGCTTGCGCCATGGTTTGCGCCAGCAATTCCAACACAGGTTAACAAAGGCTTCGCCATGGGTCGCGCCATAAACAGCGCCATGTAACACCTCTGGTGTTGCTCGGCGAGGCGTTGGAAGGTAAGAGTGCAAAACGTTCGAAGAAGTCCTAGGCGAAAGCACCATTCCACAAGGAAGTCTCAGGCGGCAGCCCACGACGGGCGGGCGATCCTCTGACGGGCGGGTCGGGCGGGTGGGACATTCAAGCGGGATGCCTGAGTAGGGCGAGAGCGCGATTCCGAAGTAAAGTGTGACGGCGTCCTTGGCGCGAGCGTGGTGCCTGAGCGTAGATAGCGCGATTTCTCAATTAACTGCAAAAAAATCACAGGCGAGAACGCAATTCCTGACAAGGGGATGTCTGGCGGGAGCGGGGATCTAGACTAACGCGTAAAGAAATCTTAAGCGGGAACGCCGTTCTTGAGAAAATTGTGAGGAATCCTCAGACGGGAAAGGGGGTCCTGACCAAATTGCGAGGAAGTCCAGGCGGGAGCGCCGATCCTGAGTAAATGTGGAGGAAATCTCAGGCGGGAGCGGGGGCCCTGAGTAAAGTTGGAGGAAGTCTCAGGCGGGAGCCCTTGTTGTTGTGGTCCGGGGGGGCAACAATGCAGTTTGACCCGGATTAAATTGTAAAGAAGTCTCAAGCGGGAGCGCCGTTCCTGAGTAAATTGGGAGGAAGTCTCAGACGGGAGGGGGGGGGCATGAGTAAATTTGGAGGAAGTCTCAGGCGGGAGCCGTTGTTGTTGTAGTCCGGGGGGGCCAGGGGCACAGTTTGACCAGGCAGACTTTCCCTGTCAGAAAACAAGGTGCGAGCGTCGAGGGGCACACGTTGATTGAGAAAAAAAATATGCACCAGTGAGGTGGGATCAACAATAATTATTCTTCAGGAATGAACAACAACAACAACAACAACAACAACAACAACAACAACAACAACAACAACCACAACCACAACCACAACCACAACCACAACAACAACAACAACAACAACAACAACAACAACAACAACAACAACAACAACAACAGCAACAACAACAACAACAACAACAACAGCAACGACAACAGCAACGACAACGACAACAACAGCAACCACAACAGCAGCAACAACAACAACAACTCGCTGAAACCCATAACCTCAAACCTGCTCCCCGTCCTGCTGGCCAGCACCAGGGCTGGGCCACCTCGGAGCCCCCAGCCGACTCCAGCGTGGACTTTGGTCTCCCTGGCCTGTGGCGCGCCGAGAAGTGGGCCCGCTCGCGCGCCAGCAGCCGCGAGCTGGCGCCCACGAAGCCGCCCCAGCGCTCCAGCAGCTGCTCCGGCGTCGACACGCCCTCCACGGGGTCCTTTCTCGGGCACGAGCGGGCGGAGGAGGAGGAGGAGGAGGAGGTTCCGTGCGGGCTATGCTCGTCGCTGTCGGCCTCCGGGGGCCCTCGCGGACCATGAAAGAACAGCTCGGCAGGCAAAAGCGGCCGGCCCAAGAGGCCCCGAAGACGGCCCCAAGAAGGCCCCAAGACGACCCCAGAGGCCTCGAAGACGCCCAAGATGGCTTCCAAGGATGGTCCTGGAGCACCCCAAGAGGGCACCAAGTCGGCCCAGAGAGGCCCCCAAGACGGCTCCCGACGGCAACAGACCGGCCAGGGATACCCTGAGACTGCCAAAGAGGCCCCCACGAAGCTGGTGAAGGGGTCGGGACTTCCGGGGACAGAGATCAAAAGAACGCGTGACTGGGCTGGGCTGTCTCCGATAGGGGAACAAAAAGTGACATAAACAGAACAACTCGGAGGTCCGCGCGGATTTCTCGGATCGGCGCTGGACCCCCATGCCTGGCGCGCGGAGCGCCAGGGGCGGCGCCGGAGGCGCCGCAGGGGGTCCCCAGCGCCGATCCGAGAAATCCGCGCGGACCTCCGATGTTTTATGCCTATGTCACTTTTTGTTCCCCTCTCCGAGGCGCGGGCGTCGCAACTTTCTTACGCTTCAGCGCGTCTTCAACCAGACTCAGGCTCCGGCGGCGAAGGGGGATATGGATGATGATGATGACGATGATGATGACGATGGTGATGATAATGATAATGAGAATGAGAATGATAATGATAATGATAATGATAATGATAATGATAATGATAATGATAATGATAATGATAATGATAATGATAATGATAATGATAATGATAATGATAATGATAATGATAATGATAATGATAATGATAATGAAATTCTAATGATAATGATAATGATAATGATAATGATTAATGATAATGGTGCTGATAATGATAATGATAATGATAATGATAATGATAATGAGAATGATAATTATAATGAGAATGATAATGATAATGATAATGATAATGATAATGGTACTGATAATAATAATGATAATGATAATGATACTGATAATTACAATGGTAATGATAATGATAATGATAATGATAATGATAATGCTAATGATAATGATAATGATAATGATAATGATAATGATAATGATAATGATAATGATAATGATAATGATAATGATAATGATAATGATAATGATAATGATAATGATAATGATATTGATAATGATAATGATAATGATAATGATAATGATAATGATAATGAAAATGAAAATGATAATGATAATGATAATGATACTGATAATGATAATGGTAATGATAATGAGACTGATAATGATAATGGTAATGATAATGATACTGATACTGATAATGATACTGATAATGCTAATGATAATGATAATGACACTGATAATGATAATGATAATGATAATGGTGATGAGAATGATAATGATACTGATAATGGTAATGATAATGATAATGATACTGACACTGATAATGACAAGTATAATGATACTGATCATGATAATGATTATGATAACGATAATGAGAATGATAATGATAATGACACTGATAATGATATTGATAATGATAATGAGAATGATAATGATAAGGATAAGGATGAGGATAATAAGGATAGTGATGAGCATGTGAATGAGATAAGGATAATGATAATGATAACGGCAATGCGAATGCTAATGATAATGCGAATGAGAATGATAATGATAACGATAACGATAATGATAACGAGAATGATAATGATATTGCTAATGAAAAGGAGAATGAGAATGTTAATGATAATGGTAATGAGATGATGGTAATGATAATGATAATGGTACTGAAAATGCTAATGATAATGCTTATGATAATGATAATGATAATGATAATGATAACGATAACGATAATGCTAATGAGAATGTTCTTGACACTGATAGTGAGGATGAGAATGATACTGCAAACGATAATGATAATTACGGATAATGATAATGATACTGATAATGGCAATGATAACGATAACGATAACGATAATGATAATGATAATACTAATGATAGTGACAATGCGAATGATAATGCTAATGTTAATGGTGATGCTAATGATATTGATATGATGATGATGATGTTGCTGATGATGACGATGATGATGATGGTGATGATGATAATGATGATGATGATGATGATGATGATGATGATGATGATGATGATGATGATGATGATGATATGATGAGGGGGAGGAAGAGGAGGAGGAGGAGGAGGAGAGGAGGAGGTGGAGGAGGAGGAGGAGGACGACGACGAGGAGGAGGAGGAGGAGGAAAAAGAGGAGGAGGGTCGGCACGCCCTCCACCGAGCCTTCTCGGGCACGAGCGCGCGGGGCGAACGCGACCCCCCCCCATGGGCTTCCTAACCTCCAGGACATCGAACTCCTCCTCCTCCTCCTCCTCCTCACTCCCTCCTCCTCCTCCTCCTCCTCCTCCCCCTCCTCCTCCTCCAGAACATCGAAACATGGATCGCGGGGGCTCTTCTCCGCTTTCGGTCTCTGGGGGCCCTCGCCAGGTCACGGGACCGTGAGAGGACGCCTCGGCACGAGAAGCTGGCCCTCGGGGAGGGGTCGGGACTTCTGGGGGCCCGCACTGGAGAAAAAGCGAGACCAGGACGAGGCCAGGACTGGAACGAGATCGGACAGGAATTGTCCGAGGGACCTCTGAGATCTGGCGGTTCTGGAGGCGCTGCGGCCTTCTCGGAGCGTTCCAAGAACGTTCTGAGGGCGTTCCACCACGCTCTGGAACGATGCGTCCCTGTCATAGCCCCGCACGCATGGGGGGGCAACGATAGGGGGGGGGGGACTGGCATAGGGGGGGATGCATCGACCCGGAATCGGCGATACATCGCCGATGGATCGGCGGTAGGCCCCCGTTAGTGCATCCGCACCGCCCTGGGCAGGTTGGGGCCATCGGGCCCCCATCGGCGATCAAGGGGCGCTTGGGGGTCGATGAAATCCCCCCCATGCTTAAGTCGGGCCTGTCCCTCTACGGCGGGAATATTCAAAAATAGTTGTTTTATTTATTTATATATATATATATATAAAAAAAAAAAAAAAAAAAAAAAAAAAAAAAAAAAAAAAAAAAAAAAAAAAAAAAAAAAAAAAAAAAAAAAAAAAAAAAAAAAAAATCGGTGGACTATGTTGTGTGTATTTGGGGGCATCGTTTGAACCTTTGTTGAATCTGTTCTGCTCTTCGTCCAAAATCCCCCTGTAGGGGGACAGGCCCCCCGCCCGGGGGCCGCCTTCCGCCGCCCCCCCGGGCGGGGGTGGGCCCTGGGAGCCCGAGAACGGCCAGAGACCTCTGGGACCCAGGAGGAGGAGGAGGAGGAGGGAGGAGGAGAGGAGGGAGGAGGAGGAGGAGGAGGAGGAGGAGGGGAGGAGGAGGAGGAGAGGAGGAGGGTAGGAGGGAGGAGGAGGGGGAGGAGAGGAGGAGGAGGAGGTGGGCGCCGACTGGAAGGCGTCCAGGAGGAGGAGGAGGAGGAAGACGAGGAGGATGAGGAGAAGGAGGAGGAGGAGGAGGAAAAGAAGGAGGAGGAGGAGGAGGAGGAGAAAATCGACCCCTTTCGGTAGCAGTCCATAGGAGCCTCCCGTGCCATCTGGACGACTCTTGCGAATCGACGCTACATCGACGCTGACCGACGCTAAATCAGCGCTACCTCATCCACTCCCAAACGCGAATCGAAGCGGATCGACGCTGAAGACGGAATTACGAGGGCACACCAGGCTACCATGATTTGCCTCCGAAGCCCCTGGACATCTCTCGGGACGCGTTCTGGCCAGAGCTTCGAAAGGGAGCCCAGCCGTGGCAACAAACAAGGGCTCCCAACTACGCGCTTCGCGCTGCGCGAAGCGCGAGGTGCGAATAACTTCGCACTCTCGCGCCGCTTCCCAGGGGAGAAGCGGAGGAGGAAGAGGAATCGGAGCCGAACCGCGAAGCGCGAAGCGCGAATGACT